TGGCAGTGCCCCTAAGAGCTTTGCGATTTAAAGTACCGAGTGGCACCGCAAGTGTTCTGCACATGCATGTCGCTTACCACCTCGGGAACGACTTTCTATCACATTTGTATCATGAAAAAAAAATGAAACAATTGATGTGAAACGGTTCATTTTGCATTTTGGTCGAGCAGCAAGGACACAGATTGTATTTCAGAAATTCTTTTTTGACAAACGAAAAATTTATATCGTACAGTTACGTGTTCATTTAGTTCAGTTGATATAAAAAACATTGGTATAAATATAAAGTACAGAATACAGCGGCTTACTTGTAAAATTCCTAGATAAGTTCTTGTTTCTTTTTCTATTTTCCACGTTGCTAACCGTCATCGAGTATGTAACCAGAAATAGAGACGAAATAAGGGCCATCCATCCCTGGCAACTCGTCAGACAAATGGGCCTTATGTCACTTTTATATATCAACTCTCGTTTGCGCTGAATACACAAATTAGAACACTGAGATAGTACAGTGCCAGCAACTGACCTGTGTATACGTGTACGGACACGGATATTCCAAAAATATTCTGTATTTATTGTAATAAAGATAATATCTCTAACAATGGGGACTGTTCCATTCGGTGGTGTGGGAAAAACAACAAAATATCTAATTACAAAACAAACGGAATCACATTTCATCGGTAGTTAAATATTAAATATGTAATTTTGCAATTTTCGTTCATTATAGCGAAGCTCAAGTTAAACTGATCGATTTGAAGTGAAACAATTGACGACAACCGTCAATTGTTTCGAATTCGGGCTGGTCAATCGGAGTGCAGTTGTCACAGTAATGATTCGGCATAATAGTTATCAAACAAGTTATACGACATTTCGCATGACATTTCGTCTCTATTTCTGGTATATACTCGATGCTAATCGTTGAGCAACCAAAGTCGTCGATAAATACTGAACAGTAAAATTTTTATTCAGTTTGTGAACGTCATAAAAGTCATCGGCTAAGATAAATCGTAACAGTGAAATTGGCAAATATCGACCAAACTTATCGTACCTAGGGAATTAGAGGATAATCTTGATCGCCTAAGGCTGTTAAGATAGCAACAGAGCTAAATTAATGTTAAGATAGCAACAGAGCTAAATTTCTGCTTCAATACCCAGTTCAACTAATTTGAAGGACATTCCCCTAATTGAATTAATTAAGATATCAATTGTGCAACGTCATTTTAGAGCAGATAAACCTACTACAATGGAAAGCTGCAAAATGAACTTTGAGGTACATGAATAAAATTCAAATGTGGTATTAAAACTTTTTTTTAATAATACCAAGTGACGGAATGAAAAGTCGTGCACCTGGTGAGCGACATGTCTATCAATTACAGTTGCAGTGCCACTCAGAGCTTTATCACCTTGAAACATAAGTTGCCAAGTCCCATGTGCCTGTAATTTCACCAGCACCCTTAACCTTCTAAACCGGAAAGAAAGAACGAAAAGAAACAAGCCTAACAATATAGTCAGTTTTTAAGCGGTCTGGCTTGGAGATAAAAATATAATCAAAAATCAAACTTAAAATAATCTTTCTTTTATAGGTAAGCATTATTACACTTGAAATCGTCACATTGGTTAAACTCTACGGCTCATTCGCAAGGTAGATTCCCCTGGGAAGAATGAGCAAGAAACCCCTAGAAACATTCAACATTTACAATATATATTTTTTTGCTTTCAAACATCAGAGATCGAGACTAACTCCGTGAGCTAAACGGGTTACTACCACGGATTTTTGTCATCCAAGTACGCAGAAGTTGTACAATAACCTGTGTAAAGTTTTTGTTTCACTATAGTTTTAAACCTCTTGAATAACAAATTTTGTATATCAACCGGAATCTTGTTATAGAAGCATATACTTTGCCCCTTAAATGAATTTGTGACTTTGTAAAGACGACTATCAAGAACAGTTAGTTTATTTTTATTCCTCGTGTTAATGTTATGTCTTTCACTGTTTTTCACAAAGAAATTATTATTCCTCCTAATATAAATTACATTTTCATAGATGTACCGTTACACTAGTAAGAATATTAATTTCCTTAAACTTGTCTCTGAAAGATACTCTCGGGCCCAGATTGTAAATTGCCCTAACCGCACGTTTCTGCAGAACAAATATTCTATTGATATCGGCGGCATTACCCCAAAGCAAAATGTCGTATGTCATTAGACTATGAAAGTAGCTGAAGTAAACCAATTGAACGGTTTCGACGTCTGAAAGTTACCGTATTTTTTTAATCGCGTACACTGCAGAGCTGAGCCGTTTTGATAACTTACTTTTTAGCATCTAACGTTTACACCTAGAAATACAAGTGAATCCACAAGATTCAATTTTTCGTTTCTAACTACAATGTTTGTAACTGTCTCTCTAACATTGGGTAATGTAAATTTCACACAATTTGTTTTTTTTCTCATTAAGGAGCAGATTATTAACAGCAAACCAATCAACTACTTTAAGAAAAGCACCTGCGGTATGGCAATTTATCATGAGTATCATTCGTAATTTCCTGGGAATCTGAGGTAAAACAAATTTTGGTCTGTCTACGTCCGAGACTGAATATACAGCTGCAACTATATGTGGTTCTTAACCGCTATTTATAACATTACTAAACGAAGAGTTAAGAGAAGAGTTAGATATATTATCTTTATTGCAATAAATATAGAATATTTTTGTAATATTTAAGTTTTCTAATTTGTGATTTCAGCGCAAACGAGAGGTGATATTTAAAAGTGATATAAGGCCCATTTGCCTGATGAGTTGCCAGGGATAGACGGCTCTTATTTCTTCTCTATTTCTAGTCGATGTTTTAAACTGTCTTTCTGATGAATTAGGTTGAGTTTGAGATACGCCGATATTCTAGAAATCCATCAATGTCTTAATGTCATATTTTATCAGTTGCATATTTGTGTTGCACAAGTAAGATATGCGAAAACGATTGATGACCTCGGTGATCCAACGGTTTGCACTGTGGGACTGTTTGAGGAGGTCCTGGTTTTGATTCTCGGTAGGGCAAATTTGGATTGGTTCTGGTCTGGTGACTTTTCCAGAAGGGAAGTGCCCCAGAGAGAACTCCGTTGCCCTGGTATTCTAAGTTTGAGACCAGGCAAATTGTGGTAAAAAATAAATAATTACTTCATTTCTAGTTTCATAAATTCTTGCCATAGAATAATGAGGCTTCCGACATCTTTTTTCTTGTCTTACTCTATAAAAGAGTTTTTAACAGCACAATTTGTTTAACTACTCTTTAATAAAGTTATGAGACTTATACTTCAACTTGTTGGCACTGAAGTCGCCAAGTTAATATTGCGTTACTAAGTTATATTAACATTTAAATGATTTAAGTTAGCACAAAAGATTTGCGTGTCAAATTTCTTTGAAGATGCGAAATTTATAAGAGGATTGTCAAATAAGTATTTGTTTTTAACTTAGTTTTGAATTTTTATTCAACAGACGTGGTAGCCAGTAACATTAATCAGATGGTCTCAGCGAACTCCGTGTGATATACCGTAGCACAAATCGTTCGATAAAAACGCCTGACGCTTTTTGTTAATTCTTTGTCAAACTCAGAGATTGGCGTTAATCATTGTCGGATAAAAAAGTCAGGCGTTTTCTTTCAAGTAGATTTTTTTTAATGAAACCAAGTGACAGAACGAACATGTCGTGTGCATGGTGTTAAGCAACACGTCTGTTCATAGCAGTTGCAGTGTTGGCATTTAAAGCTCTGAGCAGCAGCTCAGAGCTTTAAATCGCAAAAATCTGAAGGACACTGCCACCGTACCCGTCATCTGTAGTCATAAGTTAACAAGTCCCACATGACTGTAATTTCACCAGCACCCTTTCCCTTGAAAACAGGAATGCAGTAATGGTCATATGACTGCTTGGGGGCAGAAATAGATAACTACTAGCTACTAAAACCATTTACCAGTTTCACAAGTCAAGTCGACGGGAATAGTCTTATATGAATGGTCTTACTCTTCGCCATTGCCACGTGCAATGAGTACCAGTGTAGCAGAATTAAATCTAAGAGCACTATCCAGAATACTCAGCTCAGAAAATTTTATTACGCACTGCAGCAATTAAGTTACACATTGGCGGATCTTGTTGCTTTGGAGGCGATATTCGAACAAAAATGTATAGCTTGATGAGCTGTTGACTAACCGCTCACGCGATATATGCAGCCGTAGACGCATACCACACCTAGAGGTGCCGGTGATGATTTTATACCGATTTATCGGATATCGAAGTTATAACAGGTAAAAGAACTAATATTAATTGCTATTTCGGTAACTACTCTAGCAAACCATAAAGTTTTTAATGTCTGGGTCTGTCATTTAAAAAAAATAAACAACTTCAAAAATACGTCACGACAATCGTGTGTGTTATTGTTTGGGCTAGTGATTTCGGTGTTTATTTATTGAAAACATATCGTAAGTAGCGTTTTTTAAGTTTACCCTGAATATAAATGTTTATAAACTATACTTTAAGGAGTAATTTCATGGTAAACGTTAGAACCACTCAAACGGAATATTATCACACCAAAAATTCCATTAGTGCTTTTTAAGTACAAGATTTACGGTGTATTACTGCATTTTATTTGAGATGTTTTTGTTGGTAGTACGGAGGGTATTTATTTAGCAATGCAGAATAATAATTTTTAATATAAAAACTTGTATTTAAACTGAATGCTTTTATAATTTGCGAAACCAAATAGCCGCCATTTTGCGGTAGGAGGAGCGTATCGCGTGAGCGGATAAAGAAAGAGTCAGAGTTAGTGTCACTGAAAATCGAAACTGCTGTGTCATCGGGATCTTCTATGATGTTTTTTTAAGGAAATCTACCTGTATTTTCGAGTAGGTTTATAAAAGTATCAGAAATCCTTTCCTGATAAGAAACCCGTATCCAACAGTTCACACAGATAAATTAATAACTCAATTTTGTTTGTTTCAGGAACCCCAAAACCGATGCCAAAAACCATTATGTTATAGTTTTATTCCCTTGAAGTGTACTAGATTGCCAAATATTTAGTCTTAGTGTTTATATTCGCCGGCAATATGGGGTGTAACACGAGCTCCGAGGCCAAGACTGCGAAGGAGACAGGGGAGGACAAAGCACAGGAGAAGAGTCAGGAGAATCACACTCAAAATAATGAAGCTTCAGGTAAGTTTTAGATATACTTTCTTATATATAAGTAGTATATAAAAATAGCACATATTGTATGTTTATAATTTTATTATTAAAAAAATAAGTGTGCATGTGATATTCATGTTACCTGATGGAAAGTGACGTAGAGGTCGACGATGGTGTATGGGTGTAGCACACCTAAATAATACCTATTCATTCTCGCCTTGAAAAGGCTTGTGTTATACCGTTCGGAGAACAAATCTGCACGCAGGGACTTCCATTCCATAGCCATTCGCCTTATAATCCTTGAAATATCCACAACAGAAGGATGGAACCCCATCCTATGTCTGATATATCGTGTAGAATACCGATAAGTAGGCAACTTTACGCCGGTATTCAAGACTGCAGCTTCACTTCTATTAATTCCGAGCTACTTATAAGCCCCTTGCCACGCTTTTTAACTGACTTTTTTAAATAGGTAATTTCCACAAACGTAAATAAACATGTCAAACAATAAACAAACGTTTTGAGACGAAATCTGACTGTATCTTATTTACGATGTGTTTTTACGCTAGTTTTATTCATATTTCTTCTAATCGTCTTAGACTATAATGTTTGATTTAGAAAAAATAGTTTCATTTCCCAATGCCTAGCAATCAGTTGTTAGATCTCGTTCTTTAATTAATAGCCTAACTAGGTACCTAAACAAATAGCTAATAAACATTGAAGTAGGTAATTCCTTACTATTTTGGGATAGTGATGCTTTTGCCGGACTAAGTCATTGCCAGCAATAACTTTCGTAATTTACGTTTTTATTAGCCTACAGTAGTTACCTAGTGAGTAAGTTATTTATTTCCTGAAAAGGAAGAATTCGCCACAATCAATTGATAAGATTGGCAGGTGAGTTGTCGGTGGTGAGGAAGCTACAGTGCCTATTCATTAAAACTGTTACTTACACCATTCAAGCCTCGAGACATAATTTTCTGTTTTACTTTCTATCCGAGTATTGCTATTGAGCCTTTAAATTTTATGTAAACATTTTACAGCGCCATCTATGAGGAAATAGGGAAACTATTACCTTATAAAGCTTACTAAGCTGTAGGCTTTCTCACCTCTATGTAGCGCGCTACCTGTGACTTTGCTTCCAACTAGTTCTCAATGCGACGGACAGGTGGCGCTCATTTTAATTACAAAAGAAATTAGTTTTTTTTATCCCATTTTGTCTGTAATTTTAGTTTGTTTTCGGAAATGATAAGCGATATTTTAGAAAAACGACGTAACACAAAGACTTCAATCTATTAGTACATAGGTATGGTTGGCGTAACAAGAATCGCTATTTCAACATGTTCATTAGTTGCTGTGAAATAAAACTAAATTTGTGAGAGGCAAAATGGCGGGTGTACCTTTGATAATGCTATAACTTTGTTGTGTTAGAGGTATAATTTTTTTAAGCGTAGGTAGTACATATAATAGTACAATTTAGGTACATTTTTTGGTACTCAATTTGTCAGAATTCGTAAAGATACAACCACCATTTTGATTCTCACTTAAGAGGCAGTCAAACTTGTGCCCGCTAGCCACAAGATCGAAATTCTCCATGTATTTTTGAAACCAAGTAAACAGAATGTTTTAAATAATAAAATAGTGTAGGCAACATGTTCCGTTGGGATTTCTTGTCCAAATAAAGCGAAGTAGGTAAGCTGTTTTGCTTTAGATTTATCGACCATTGTTCCGATCCTCGGGAGACTTCTATACGTATAAAGAAGTGACGTTTGTTACGAATAGATATTTTTTCTAGCAAAAGGATAACACCAATAATATAAAGGATAACGATAATATACATACGACAGACATACACACATACATGAACTTTATATACATACATAAGCAGAATATATATTAGAATAACAGATTTCTTGTTTACAAATATGTTACCCATTAACTATCTAACGCCTTCGACAGGAAGTGCTCTCTTAATTTGTATTTGAAAGATGCCACCGATGGACTGTCACGAATGTCAGCAGGTAGTTTATTCCACACACGAGAATACTATTATTATGTTATTATTAAATACACATTTTAATACGTTTTACAAAAAGGTCTAGAAATTGCTTTAACATATCAAGTGACGGGACGAGCAAGTCCGCCTGGTGGTAAGCGACACGCCTATCCATAAAGGTGGATTCACAATGCACAAATGCACAAAACTTGATTTCCATTGCCTCTCCCGATCGGGAACTGCGTCCCTTCCGAGTCGAGGCGCATAATTGCGATTCACAACTGATCGGAAGCTTTTGACATTTCACATTGGAACAATAGTTGATAGTAGTAGTAATAGATAGTAGGAATCAGGTTCACTTTCTCGCTCAGAAACCCATCTGATTTCTAGACGACCCGATCGGATCGATTCCCATTTGAAACAAAGTCAGGACGCAGGAGCTAAAGTCGCTGCTCCTGATTGCTCAACTCAAGGTCATATAGCGCAACGCGATAAATTACGGCAATATATTCCCAGAATTTTTTTATTGTGAATCCAACGTTTCAGTTGCAGTGTCGCACAGAAATTTAAATGGCAAAGATCTGTCACCCTGAGACATAAGTCGAAATTCTCTGCTCCTTACGAATATAGTTCGTCCTGGGAAGTACTGCCACGTTACTTATTTCTGCCGTCAAGCAATGTGAGCATTATTGCACTCTAGTCTTGAAGGGTAAGTGTGCTGGTGATTACAGGCACATGGGACTTGTCAACTTACGTCTCAGGGTGACAGGCGCAGTGGCATTATTGCCTCAGATCTTTGCGATTTAGAGGTCTGGAACTGAAATGGACAGGGCGTTTCGCTTACCACAAGGCGCATTGTTCTTCCTGTCACTCGGTAATATTAAATAAAAAATAACGTACATTCATCTTCATATATACATGGGAGAACAAAAAAGATGGTTGTTGAAATGTACACCATCGTAAATTTGTCGTGTATGTCCACAGTCACAAAAAGCGCAAAAGGGAAGTAGCACAGAAAAAAGGCCGTGATAAAACCTGCGGGTGTGGTTTACAGGCTAATCTATTTCGATAGCTTCCTAAGGCTTTTTTTAGGAGTGGCCTAGACCACACGGCGCCATTGTTTGTTGTGCATTCAACATCATATTATGACAAACGAGAAAATAATTTGAATATCAGGAATTTATTAGTTTTCCTATTTTATTTTTCCAAGAACTTTATAAAGTAAATTTATATTTAATTGATACTTAATTTTTTTTGTGACATGACTCCACTAGTTTGTTACAATTATTAATACAAAGATCGAACACTCAGAAAAAATTCCTTTGATCCGGCCGGATTCGAACCGACGCCTTCCAACAAACCGTGCCGAAACTATACGAAACAGCGGACCTCACGAATTTTTCTATGTGCTTGATATCGAATTTTTGTATTGGGTTTTTTCAACTTTGCAAAGTATTTTTATTCTCTTGAAATTGGCATGGAATTGAGAATTTTGTACGAAAACCAAAGACTTTTAAAGTAATTATTGATGTAAAGATCGAACAATCAGAAAATTAATTCGATTCGGCTGGATTCGAACCAGCGCCTTCGCCACAACGTGGCTGACGCTTTCCCAACTGAGCTACGGAACGAACCTGCTGACCGTATAATTTTGTTTATGCTTGTTGCAGACCTTTCGACTTCTAACGTCTTTTTTACCGTAGCGTCATCTGTGTGAAATCTAAGAAATTTCTTCAGTGTGCCTTTAAGTAATTTAGGATTTCAGTTTTTGGGTTCTTAATGAAATAATAATAATATGACGACCTCGGTGGCCCAAACGGTGCTAGATATGGAGGTCCCAGGTTCGATCTCTGGTAGGACCAATTTGGGAAATGAACTTTTCTAAATTCGTTCTGGTCTGGGTGTTCTGAGTAGTGCTTCAGAGTATCACTTGCTCTGGTACTTCTAATACAGAGAAATGTCAAGTTCGAAACCAAGTTGAATTGAACTAATTATTGGAAAAAAAAAACTTACAAACTACATAATTATAAATAATTGACATAGCTCTGATCCCAAAGTAAGTAACTAACTAAATAAAATTGAAAACAACAACGGTACCACACGCACTTGAAACAATATACAAAAGTTAGTTTTTCTACAGTGACCGGAGATCAAACCCGGGTCCCAAGAGATGACGACACCATGAAAATCGTTGGGCAAATCGCTCGCCCACGGAGGTTGTCAGAGTTACTTTAGTCTGAGCTCCGTCACTTCTCAAGGTTACACGGTATACAAGACTTCTATTTATGAGCATTCGGTTCCGCACGACTGCACACGGCGGGCAACGTTATTTTCACCTCTCTGAACGCGTGTTTAGGTTCATTTTTCCTGGTAGTGGGCGCCTGGTGTCATTAGTCAGATTTAGTAGGCTATAGCGTAGATATATTCGATTTGGTATGAGACTGATGTATATGTTTCGTAGTAACTATTAAGTAATCTTCGCTTTAGTAAACAAATTGTATTAAGCTAAATAAAAGCTGAAACTTTTGATTGGCCTGTCACACAATTACAATGGATTCTACATGGATTTCATTACATCGATAGCAGTAGAGCTCCTTGTGAAAGAGTTCGTCCAGGTAAGTATTGCCAAGTTATCAATTTCAGCCGCCAAGCAGCAATGTGAGCATTACTACTTTCCTATACATGGGACTTGTCAACTTAAATCTCAGAGTAATGGCAGTGCCCTCAGATCTTTGTGATTTGAAGCTCTGAGCGGCATTGCAACTATTATGGACAGGCGCGTCATTTTGTATTATAAAAAAAAGACGCACGACTTGTTCTTTCCTTCAGAATATCGAAACTTTAACAAACAGAATTATAGAGGTCAATAGGAACGAAGTAACGAGCACCAAGTGGTTTCGGCGCAAACCAATTGGGTCTCGAAAGGTAAAGGCGTAAAACAGGGAAGCTAACTCTCGGCGCGATCATTTACTTTGTTAATGGGTGATCCGATGAGAACTCTCGATATAAAAAAGAGATTTCCTGTACATTGATATAG